ACTTTCTATTCTCTGACTTGGAAAAAGAAAAACCTGCTACCATCATTTTCTGAGAGCCAGGCAGAGGGTGAGAGGAGAGGTCAGAGCAATGCTGTGAAACTGGGACTGGGGAAGACCCTGGAAAACTTTGGGATAGAAACTGTGGATCTAGTGTGATGTTTTCCTCTCCCCATATACACCCACTACACCTGCACGAGGTGAGTGGAAAACACTAGTAAAATAAAACATTTTAATACTGTTTTACACTAATAAAGAGACAGATAACAAATTATTTAAGTGGAAAATGGGCCAGGCTATGAGTGTTTAAAATCTTGGGAGCTAAAGAGGTTTCAGGTGGCATGGAGAGCTTTCTGCTGGGGCAAAGGAACAGTTGCCTGGCTAACAGTAAGCAGAGTCAGAGGAAACAGATTTGAAGGAAACTCTTCAGGTGCCTAAATGTGAGCAGGTAGCACTTCATAGATGGCCCAAGACATCCAAGCCACCTGCAGTGATCTGAAAAGGATGATGGAGAAAATGACAGACAATCCATCTACCCCTCTGGAGCAGCATCTGGAGGCTGAAGTAGCCTCAGCACGTCTGGAATGGTATCAGATACCAGGGATTTAGGCACCAGAGTCCCTAGTGTTTCTCCATAAATTCTCCCAGCCTAAACACTGAAGATGATCTCTCGTGGCTGGTTGCTGGCACAGACTGAGACCTAGCTGAGGATAGGAGATCATCTGTCAAGTTTGACTCACTACCCTACTAACTGTGGACATGGGAGTAGCTCATAAAGAGTATATATTTCTGGATGTTTCTAGGGGGGGGTTCAAGAGTCAGGGAAGTTCTTCTAGACCAGCAGCAGTCAGGGGGAATGGGGAGGAAGGCAGCTCTGTGGGGTGAGCAGGGAAGGGATGGAAGAGAGGACTGCTGTGGACAGCACATCATTAAGCACATAGCTTTGACTGCTACTTCAGCAGGGCAGTGCCTGTCTCCAGGCATCAGCATCCATTTCCCTCACAGCCTTGTAAGACAGTCCCATGTACTTCCACATCTCAGACGTGACGTTCCTCAGGGGAAAATTCAGAATCCAATTACCATGCAAATCCAGCTGGGATGCAGCTCTCTTCCTCCTCCCATCCCCCAAGCCTTCCTTTCTCTGCCTAAAAATGACTTGGGTGTGCAGACATATTTTTCCATTTTGCCTCTTGAAGTAAGTATCAACCTCCCAGAAGCAGATTATTGGGCTTCAGATGGGAATAGTCACTTAGCTCTCTGTAGGGGTTACAAATCCACACCCTGAACTTGCCTGTCACACACTGGATCAAGCAATGTCCAGGTTATGTGCATCATTACAATCTCTCCATCCTTGCTTGAGCATTATTTTACAATTCAGGAGTTCTGTTGACTCACCCTTTTCAAATGATCACCTTTTCCACTGCATTGTTTGCATGGTATTTAATTGCAACAGGTTTATTTATTTTTAAAAGGCAAATTCTTCACAACAACTCAAAAGATTAATTCAGGCTCAAGATAAAAAAAAAAAAGATCAATTTGTTGGGTTCTGATTTTGCATTCTTTATGGCTTGGGCAGTTTTTTCATAAGCAGAAGCATAAAGATATTCCCTTAAAGCCTATCACCAGTGGGAATTTCTCACTGTAAAACCCACATTAATCTTTTTCACAAAGGTTAAAAAAGATCCTGCTCATCCACATTACTGCATCTGGCATCCCAGAGCCCCCACAACAGTACATTAAGCTCCACATTCTGACAATTGCTGCTAAATGTTCAGTTTTTCAGCCACAACCACTCTAGGAGCCTTTTTATAATAAAGGAAATTTAAATGCCACGTTAAAAAAGATCAAAAGATGTATCAGCAACTTATCTAAATCACAGTAACCCCAGATAAAGCCTGTCCTGTCTCCATAAATAGATTACCACAAGGAATGTATGGAAAGAGTTGATTGTGGAAGGAATCTCCCATCCTACTGAAAATTTGATATTTACCACACTCAAAGAGTTTTTCAATGGTTAAAAACTTTGCATATATTGCTACAAGCACAAGGAAACCGTTGTAAAGGATTTAGACAGGAAGAAAATAAAACACCAGCACTTAATAGCTTTGCTGTTGCCTTCCTCCACTACCATTTTACAAATTTTGCTACCTTTCCCTATATTATTTCACTTCCAACACATACAAAGCAAACAGATTTAATCCTAAAGGCATTTGCAGCCTGAATTTCCTACAGAAGGATCGTAAATCTCGGACGGCGAGCCTGAAATCGTTAAAGTCACAGATTTATAAAATCATATTCAATTAGGTTAAAAAAGTGCAATTTCTGTCATCATGTCATAAAAAGATGTGTTTTTCTCTCAGATCTACTATAAAGAAAAGCTCCCTATATTGTTACAGATAGAGGCTGTTTTCAATCAGTTACAAGGAGCAATCCAATTACTGGATGGTTTAGTGCAGTAACTGACTCCAGACTAATTTAATTTCTTTAGGTCTCTAAAGATCAATTGATCTGATTTGTTTCCCTCCCCAAAGGCTGTTTAGGAAAAAGCAGGCTTAACTACCTGGAAATGAAATACAAAGCTCTGTACACTTTCACACTACTTAGGTCACTCAGAGGAGCTGGAACTCAGGATAAATGAGTGCTCTCTTGGCCCGAACATCACAGGATGCTTTACAGGAGACCATTAGGATCACTGCACAGCCCTCAGATTATGCATGCATATGCTGTAACCTTAGCAAGCAGTGCCTGGAAGGGACTTTCACAGCTTCTACATAACCATTTTGTTTTCAAATCTACATTTGGCCTGCACATAATCTTTTCCCAGCAAATAAGTATTTTCCTCAGGCAGCGATCTTATAGAAATAACTCAATTTCCACCCAGACAGAGTAAGACTCGTGCTGTACTTTTCAACATATCACCTACAACTTGCAATAGATGTCATAATGGACATCCAGAAAGAAATCCTTCCTGGTGTCCCATCTCATTTTGCTATTTCTTTAGCTTTATATCAGATTTCTTTAGCTTTATATCAGATTTCTTTAAGCAGCTTTGCTGGCGCTAAGATGGAATCTGTAGGGCACTTAGAGAATGATATTCTCATCTGCCTGAATATTTTAATGCTGGAATTGGATAAACCACTTGGTATTGCTGGACCATAGCAGGTAATTTAGGAAATTCTCTAATAGTCTCTTACCAGCCCTCTTGTGTGTTGCTTTTTTACTATATCTCCTTACTGGATGCATTGTGCAGCAGGTTTGGTTGGTTTTTTTTAAATACCATTCTTCCCTAATTAGGGCTACGCCTTCCAATTTAAGTCAAAACAACACCTTAACCAAACTCGGACTCTCAAATCCAGAGGTTTAGTTTCATTTCAATACTTTTCACATTCTGTTTCTTGTATTTATTCTCCATTTCACATTTGGCTGCCTTATCTTCCCCAGCAACTCTCCTGCCTGTCTCAGGCTCTGTTCTTACACTTATCAATAAACAAAAGGGCACGGCGGTTTGCACTCAGCATTTCTGACTCCGTGCCATGTGCTGTTATAATAAGATGTCCTCTGGAAAAATTCCCTTCCTATCCAGCCCCAGTGCTGTTCCTCTGCTCAGAGCTAACCAAGTTTTTCTCCCAGCTTATCTCTTTGGACTTTCTCAGCCCTTGCAGAGCTGTGTCGTTAGAGATCGCCTGTCTGTAAAACAAAGAACCTGAAAGGTGGAAATCAAAGTCCCTTCCCTTCCTACAGGTCCTTTCTTGACTGTTTATTGCATAGAAACCTGCCCTTTGGATACTGTTTACCTTAGTACTCTGTCAATACAGCAGGCTCTGCTATTCCAGTTAAATCTGCTCTGGGGTTTTTTCCTTTCATATTCGATGAAGATTTTAACTTAGGAAGCAATTTTTAGCACATTTTTAGTGTGCACTGCAGCCTACAAGCTTGCTTTCCCTGAATTACTCTTCTTTTTCCCAATAACTCAATAATCCAGTCACTAGTAAGCTATAAAACATCCCACTATTTCCCATCCATGGACCTGCTTAGATCGAAGGCCTTTTGAAATGCTGTCAAAACTTCCTCTAGCTGTAGGGATATGACTTCATTGAGCAGTTTGTCCCCTATATGCACCCGTGAAAGATGATTCACAGATACATCTGGATATCCCCACATAGGAGCCATGAGGGTTTGGGCCTCTCCAAGGTTTCTTTCATGACCGTGTGCTCATAGGAAAATTTGGATGTGCTGGATCCGTCTCCATCGAGATCTTCCAGCCTGAAGGATGCAGGCAGCTTAATTTGCTTCATTTGCCAAACTATTCGACACGATATCATAAAAATGAGCTACCAAGAGATTGAAGTTTCTTTCCTACTCAGCTGTGGGTTAATGGTTCAGTCCCTATGGCAGCAGTTTCTTACAATGAGCTGCACACACATAAAACTCAACAGTTTCCAGATAAAGCTTTCCCCTGATGCAGCCTGCAGGACAATTTTGGTGAAACAAAAATGGCATCTTTGTCATCAGAGTGGGAGTTATGGGATTCACCCTGATGGCAATAATTGCTGACTTCAGTGTCTGGGACTGCTGAAGTGTATTTTGGGAAGCTCCCCTCTCTCTTTTCCACCGAGGGGAACAGTGGGGAGCTATAAAGATGTTTTTCACAGGACCACTGCCCTTGTTTCCCATTGACCCAATTCACAGCCCTCAATAGGATTAAATAGTAAGATAAGAAAAAAGCTTTTCATTCTGAAGCTGTAAAACTGACCCCCTCCTCCCTTCAAGAAGCCCCCTCAGGAAGATGTATATTGGCCCCAACTGCAACAGCTGTCAAAACTCAAACCAGCTCTTTCTTCATAAAGTTTATAAGTATTTTTAGAGGAGGTGGAGGCTTACTACATGCAACGAGATAACGTTAAAATGCACAGCTTCTCAGGAGTTGAAAGGATGCTTTTCCTACAAACTCTCTCTTCTCTTTATCTTATCTGCATGGAAAGTAAACAGAAAGTCCCCATTACCTCTCGATATCAGTGAGTCTGGAAGAGTCCCGGAATCCTTTAGCAAAAGGGTTGCTGTCAATTTTCAACTTGGTTATCTGGAAACACAAAAAAAAAGAGCGATGCAACATGAATATGGTGCTGAGGTATTGCAGCCTACAAAGTGTTAACTCATCCATCTTCCAGACTCCACTGCTAATTTTATCCGTGCTCCTCGTATGTGGACAAGGAAAGACCAAAAGGTGCAGTGGGCTCAACCTTCACGTTACCCAGAGCAGGAGCAACCCACCCACATGAAGCATTACTGCTTCCAAATCCTTTCACAGCATGAATCAGGTTGTCTTCTCCATGAGCAACATCTGAGCCTCACTGGTGGAACTGCATACCGATCAATAGGAGCCTAAACTAGGAGCCAGAATGTTCTCAGCCAGACCTGCTAGCTATCACATAGGGGCTGTTTAACTGGTTTTGCATGGAAAGAGGCTGAGAGAAGGGAAGGAGGGAGGGAAAAAAATGTAGGGAGGACTCAGATTTGAAGTGACAGAACCTGGGTGAAAGGAGTAACCTGATTAAAACCATCACAGTCTGTCAAAAGCAGAGACCTTGCAACCAAAATTCTCCTCTTCTTCAAATGCAGCTACAAGTCTGCCCAGTGCATCCTGTCAGCCTTTCCATCCTGCCAGAGTAGCCCAAAGCATCCCCTTAACTTTGCACTGAAAGTTTTGAGGCATAGGTAGTGGCTCCCACTGTGGTTTTGGGCGAGCAGGAACAAAATTATACCACTGCCCTTGTGAAATTTTCTAGCTGTCCAAGCAGATGAGATTTGGTGAATAAAACCCGAGACATTGTCATAATATTCAGATCTTGTAGCAATACTTCTGCCAAGAATTAAAAGAGTAAGTGGGAGTTAGAGCTTGAGGAAGGACAACACAGGGCTTGTCCTGCAAAGCAGTGAATGCCACCAGCTCTAGCTGAAGCCCATGAGAATCAATGGTTCTTGACATGGCTACACCAGCCTGGTTTTCCTCAAAAACCCTGTATGAAGAGGCCACCACCTCACTTTTAATAGCTGGCCCTCGAGACTCAGAAAGAAAAGAGAACTTTTCCAAATCCTCAAACAACAAAATGCTCTCCTCAGACAAAGGTATTTCAAAAGGGGGGGTCTTCTCCAAAAATTAAAGAGACAAGAGGAGAACTGAACTCAAATTTCCTGCTAAGAAAGAGGTGTTCTGGGAGGAAAACACAGAGAGGGAGGGACAAAACCAGAGTATTAATTACAGTTCTGCAGTAAATGACTGAGGCAGGGGGCATCTGCTACCCCCCTGCTCTGCCACCCTGGGAAACTCCCTGCCCAACATTTTGGGTCCATACAAGGGCAAGTTCTCTGGGGAAGATCCTTGCTTTGAGGCACTATGTAGGAGGTGCTGCAGATGTTCCCCTGGGCTGGTCAGACAGCACAGGGCCTCAGCACTGGCTGAGATTTTGAGGCTGTCCCATTCTGTAGATACAGCTGGTGAAAAATACCCTGAACACTGGCCATGGCACAGGACCTTGCCACAGCTCAGCAGGTTGGTTGTACCAACTTTTGACTCCCAAGACATCCACAAGCCCTTGACTCACAGGGATGCTGCAAAGAGTGGCTGGTTAGTGCCCACGTACAGTGAACCTTTTTATGGCAACATTCTGAAAACCACCTTGAAAAAAGACAAGCTCTAACTAGTTCCATTGACTTAGATCACCAACACACCGAGCCAACTGCACTGCAGAATAATGAGGCCATCTATTCATCTCCTGAGCATATTTTCACCAATCAAACTTCCATTTTCCTAATATTAAAGATTTGGTATGACATCACAAGAGAAACTTTTTGTATCCACCAAAGCCAGATGAGACTCACAATCATTTATGGCCATATTTTTCCTGAGAGACTGTCTCACAAACAATCAGAGAACATCTGCTAGAAAGCATTTTAAAATGAAATCTGACCTACAATTCAACTCTGTGGCAGTGGTTTGGCTGTTTAAATAAATGCATGCCCTTTAAATCTTAAATTATGAGATAGTTTGTTGAAAGTGTAATGTATTTAGCTTTTATCTAATAACCTCCAGAAATGTAATCAATCCCTCCTTAAAACAGTTCTGAAAGAAATGGCAAAAATGAAAAAAGGCTCCATTTTCATTAGTCATAAATAAAATGACAGCATCCACCTCTAGGGGTTCCGGAGATGTTCCATTGAGAAATTTTCCAGGACTCGATGTATGTGCTTTGGGAAGGTTAGTTTAGAAACATCTCTGGTGTAAATATCGCCTGTAAACACAAATCCATCCTACAGAAATAAATTCCAGGTTTAGCTGGTTTTGTGCCTGTTACTGTTTTGCTGGTTTCTGCAGAAAAGTTATGTGGAAAAATCTAACCGCCTGTCCAAACATTATGTTCTTGAGATTGCCAAGGGCTGGATGCATTTGCTGCAGCTTTTGGATACAAACCCCAGTCTAAAATCAATACATTCTGATATTAAAGCCTTAAAGCAGGATGGGGGGGCTGCCATAAGGACCAACTCAATACCACCACTATTATCTCCAAGGCTTTTTTGCTCCTCTATGCCATAGTTTCGTTTTATTCCTAGCATTTAGAAATTAATTACATTTGCTTCATATTAAGAAATGTAAACTTTAAATAACCCAGCAGGTACATTGACTCCACGATGCTGCCTGGACAGCACTTCTATTTTTCTTAACTTGGGGGAACTAGAGAGGGAAAGGAATCTTTTTCTGAAGTTCTGTTTTCTTGAGGTCCTTTAAAGCACGCTCTGAATCCCACTGAAGCCAACAACCTATTTCCACAGCCTTAAATAGGAAAGCCCTATCCCCTGTCGAGCAGAGCTTCTGCTCTCTGATTGTTTATGTACTTCCTAAAATTACTCATTAGCAATCCATTGTTATGATCTCCTCCATTTTGTATATATTATCCCCTGGCATGCAAATTGAAATTCAAACATCTGGATGTAATCTGGGCAGCCTCTGAAAAGCCTATCTCTGAGTGATTTCCCTTACGTTTAAGCCTTACAGCTTAATTAGTCAACTTTTTAGACCCCTGAAATCATCATGTGCAAACCAGAATCTCTCTCAGCTAATAGCTTGTGGCATAAAAGATTGCTGCAAATCAGAGCAGTTCACTTAACGAGCTATAATTGGAAAAGGACTAAACGATGATATGTAAATGGTTTTGTACAGACAGAAGGGAAGACAAATAAAAAGCCCCTTTCATGTCATCTTTATTCCCATGAATAATCCTCGTGGCTCTTTGAAGTCAGGAGTACTACCCATATATGTAAGAATTTCTGCTGAATATGAATTAGACTGGGCAAGGTCACTACAGATATTGGCATGGAAAATTAGGTTGTGTCTGAAAGTGTCCTAGTTCAGATTGGGGAAAAGGGAGATTTCAGCAAGGTGAGATTTAGTGAAATCCATGGAAACGAGCAACTGTACTCACCAGTTGATTCTGGTAGGCAGTAACAGCAGTAAAAACTGTCTCTGGAAAGATAAATGTCCTGAACTCTTCGGATTTCAGATTTAGCAAAGAAGCCGTGTGATCCTTCTTCTTGATAATGTGGACCCTTGGTTGGTACTTGTGCATGGAGTTCAAAATGATCTGCAAGAAAGAGGGACAAGGGTCCTGAGAAGGGTGGTTAACAGATGGACTTCCAGCTGGACTCTGGAAGGCTATACAAACATAGGGAGAAAACACCCCAAAAAAAGATCTAATTAACACTGCAAAGGGAGATAGCTGAAATCTAACTATCTAGGGGCTGATCTTCAGAGCACACTCTGCAGCTCCTTTGGGCAGTCCCAGAAAAGGAAGGTGGCAAAGCAGGAATCCCAGGAGCTGGTTTCACCTCTCTCCTACACCACTGGTGAGCACAATGTTTTAGAAGCATAAATACCTGTTCCTACAGGTGAGGTGTTTTACATAGAGAATTTGGGATTGCTGGCGTGTGCCCCAGTCTGCAGGTGTCAGCTGCAAGTGGGAATATGGAGCTCTTGAGAATCCACACGTGCAAAATTGTTCAGGTGCAGAATGAAAACAGCCCTTGGAAAAAAAGAAAAAAAGGGGGGAAAAAAAAAAGGAAAAAGAAAAAAGAAAACCCAACCAACCAGCAGCAAACTGGCTGACCAAAAATAAAACTCCCCCAGATCCTTTTACTTACTGTGGCAAACCTATAAAGCAAACTACTTTGTAGACACTCTACTGAAAATGAGAGTGAGGAGGGAAACCAGTCCAGAACCCCAACGTCACCAGGTTGCACCAGATCATCCTCAGTAATAATTGTTTACCAGCTCCCAGAACAATTCCATGCCTGACGTACCAACTAACCCCTTTCAACGTTCACTGGAGTCAAACCAAGAGTCCCTCTTGCTTCACTTACCACTGGCTGGAGGCCTGTTTGGCTGCCTCTAACCACAGTATTACAATATAAGAATTAAATACAGAGCTGGGCTCGCACCAGTCCTTGTTTGGGATATAATCACAGTCACAAGACGGAATTGGCAGTGGTGTGGGTGGTTCTATTTTGCAGGGGCTATAAGGACGTTACAGGCAGCTCTGTACATCTGGAAGAGCTAATGTGCATTCCTCAGGAAGCGTTAACTTCAGCTCAGACACAGCAGCAGTGGTGCAGTGTTTCATGCTAAGTCAGTCAACGAGGAAGGTCGCACGTTGCCTTGGAGTGGAGAGCTTAGAGACAGCTTTGCCACGGCTAAAATTTCCCTTGGTGTTTTCTTCGCTGCTCCTTCGGGGTCAAATATTACTAAGACTTGCACTGTGACTTTGGGAGGGGCACAGAAAGTCATTATAGTGGTGCAGAACCATTATCCTGAAGGTGTTGCATGTCCGCCCTCACCAAGTCCTTTCTCAAGTCATTTCACCATTTTATGGACATAGAGTGACCATTGACCCTGCCTTGAATCTCCTCATCACTCTTCCCTCTCCTTGTAAAATTTGGTCTTACCATCCCAGTCACTTGGGCTGCTCTAAGCAGCTCAAAAAGACATTTTAAAGGATGGTGATGAGCTTATTGGGTTGGACACAGACGTTGGTGGTTCCTGTTGCCTTTCATGGCCATGATATCCATTCCCAAGGCATCACATCTGAGCAGCAGCCGAGCAGGAGGAGGAAAAAGCTGGGACAGAGCAGCTCCCACACATGCCCTTTCCTTTCACTCCTCTGGGAACCAAACGGTGATAAAGAAACTGGATTTCTCCAACGAGACCACGTAATCCTTTATGAAAGTTTTCCAAACCCAAAACCACACATGGATAACAGCCCCTGTCACGATGCCCTACCTTCCAAGAGTAAAGCAAGCCTTCTATTTGTTCTAGTAGAAGTAAGTCAAGGCAAGCTGGGCCATTCAGGTACAAAACAAGTACCCAATGTAGCCCACAAAAGACCCCTGACCAAAGTTAAGGTCACTATTTCCTTTTCATGGGCGTCTGTGTATGTAGTGCTCCATCTGCACCCCTTCACAGGCTGATATCAGTCAGTAGGACACACTGTGCAAAGATCCTACTTAACATAGATGCACCTTCTTCTGTTAGGACCATCAAAACAGCCTTGAAGGGGTTAGATACACAGGGTGCATCTCACAGATGGTGGTCTTGGAGTCCAAGCAGCCCCTCCACGTAGCTATCAGAAGATGCCTGATGGCTGAGACTCCTGTTGGTGTGCCCCAAGAGGAACATCAGGTGCATATAAATTCATGGCAGCCCCTCAGCACACCGTGCTGACGGGCACCCAGCCATCCCATCTGCCTTGGTGCCAACAGCCTGCAGCAGGGGAGGTGACCAGGAGCCATCCTTACAGGGTCCTCTTTGCTGTAAGGTCAGGCAGGTTTGTAGGCATCTGGCTCCCACTGGCTAACAGAGCAGTTGCCAGAGGCAATCTGGATGCCAGCTGCAAAATCCTCGAGGTGGCTTTGAGTTCAGGAGCTGTGCTGTGAATACAGCTTCCATATTACCAAAGAGGAGTGTTACCAGGAAAAGTTTGCTTTCTAAAAGCAAAGGTGCCCAACTTCTGCAAGGTTGACTTAAAAAAAAAACCCCAAACCCATAACTCCTTGGGGCTATTCTGAAAGTCCTAATTTCACAGCTACCCGTCAGCCACGTTCTCACCTCTGTGTTTGCTTTTGCAGACTTCCATATGTTGGAGTTTTGCTGTCAGAAATGCCAGAAAAGCAATTACAATAATATATACATTCGTGGCTCACCTCACCAGAGACCAGAAATGATACCACCCCAGCTAAGTGCAACCAAAAGTCCTAAAAGCAGTAGCCTGTGTGATCAGCACCAGAAAACTAGGAAAAAAATCACGTTCATAAATGTTCCACAATGAGAAAAATGGGAATTACTCTCTTGGCTGTAAAAATCTGGGGCCAGGAGCCGTTTCCTTCCTCTGGTGAGGATATCTGAGAGTGTTTCCATGGAGCAAGCTGTTTGTCATGCACACAGAGATAAAACTTCTGCCTGATGCTGGGGGAGAATATGGACATAGCTATGAGGTTATGCATGCTGATGAAGGCACACCAACTGAGATCCAACTCCAAAAGTCTCAAAATAAGAGAAAACAAACAAATGCAAGAACAAACAAACGCCTCTCCTCATATTCCTTCTTCAGGAAATAAGCCACCCTGCAAATAAACCACCAACATCACCTTAACACCCAAACGTCTTCTGGAGGATGGAGAAAGCAAGCAATGAAAAACTGGAATCAGGTTGGATCCAGCTTCCCTACCTATCACTAGTATTTAAAGGTGGTTTTCGGGTCATTGGAGCATCCTCAGGAGTCAACACGCCTTATCAAACAGAACTAAGACTTTAGCAGGTCACTTAAAAAGGTCTTGTTGGTGAAGAAGGGCTCTTTTAAACCAAAGGCAGAGGTTTCAGGAGGCATTTCAATTCTCTTAGTACACTGGAGCTCAGAAATACCATTGGCCACAGCACAGGGAGCCCTCTGTAAAGGCTCCCAGAGAATGAATTTCTCCCTTAATTCTACTGAACATCCAGTGATGGTATTTACACAGCTTCAATAGAGCAGCATGTAAGATCTGACGCCCTAATTTGGAACACAAAACCCTATAGAATAAGAAGAAGGGAGTGCTCCATGAAGGCGTGACATGTCAGGCAAATCTCAACATGGGATCAAGCCCTTGGGGCTTATCCTGACCTGAACATGCAAACCTTCCCATCCATTTTGGCACGAAGAACAGGATCCACCTCTCCGTGCTGCTTCAAAAGTTAATCAGGAGGCTGCATCTCCAACTCCCCGGGTCCTTTTCTCCCGTTGTCTGTGCTGGAGACGATGACATCTTCTTGCTCTGTCACGTGTCTCTGTTCCCGACAGCTTCTCAGACCTACTTCTTCTTCATACTCATCCAGGCTTCTGGGAACTGCTCCACTCCTAACTAGTGTGCAATATACTGCTGCGAGCCCTTTATTAGAGGCACACATGGCCCCTGTTATGATGAAAAATGCCTCTTTTTAAATGCGCACGTATACCGCTCTATCATCACTCTGTGATGGAGCCTACAAATCTTCAGCTTTGCCCTTCTACAGATTATGAAATAAAAGAGAGAGGGGAAAGAAAAAAGAAAAAAAAAAAGCCATTCTCTTCTAGTCAGGAAGGGAACAACAGTGGGAACTGTATTTAAGAAAAATACACCCCCAGATGGCTCTGTACAAAAGAGCAACGCAGAGGCAGCTATCTGGGCTTCCCTCTGGTTTGGTTTGAGGTTGGTTTTTTTTTAAAGCTACTTTTGTTGTTGCTTCCAGGATGGATTTTAAATTATCAGGGCTGTGGTTCAGTTCTTAGGTCTGGAAATGAGTGAAAATTCTCTTTCAGATGCAAAGCGTTCGAACACAGCTCAGACAACTGGGTGCTGCCTCACGCAGTCAGAAGAGGCAACAAATGTCACACTAGAGGAGGGACTTCTGACACCATGAATGCCACAGTTATTCAGCTTTACAGGTTAGGGAACCCTACACGTGCTTCAGAGATCAAAATTGTTCCTCTCCTCCCTACACCTCATTTACTGATGCTGCCTTGTGCATGTTCCTAACTGCCCCCTTCTTGGCCAACAACCATTTCAAATCCATCCCTCTGTTCCTTCAGCCTCCCCCCTGGGGAACACTGAGTCAGGAGGCAACATTTTTATCTCTCCCTTTGCAATTTGGAGGTTTTACCAAGCTGTTCCTGCATTATACAGGCATTTTTGGGGAGGGGCAGGACAGACACACTTCTTACTACCTACCATTAGAGAGCCAGGTAGCTAAAGGAGTTGTCCCCACTCATGGAGCAGCTCTGTAACCTATTTACCATCTTCCAGCCTGTGACAACAAACTGGTACCAATCAGACCAAGAGCCTATTCCCTTCAGAGGTCCAAGCCCACCTTGTGGCACGTTGACTTCCAGGTGGCCTACAGGTATTTCAGGGGCAACTGAGGCACTCTTTATCTTGTCTTATCTTATCTCTATAACTCAACAGCCCTTGTTCTGCTGTCACACAAGGATTTTCTGCTGACCCTGTGCCCATGCTGTGTTGACTCTGGAGGTAAAAGAGCCCTTATTGATGGACCCAAACCTCAGCTGGTTGCCTGTAATGAGCTTCCAAGTGTATATAGAAAAGTGTGTGAGCCTGATGGCCAGTGCACATGCCAAGTCACAGCAAAATGTGGGCAGAAGCGTGACAAAAATCTCTCCTGCCTCCCTTCTCTGCCTTGCTTTGATGCTCAGCTCCACCCTGAACTTGTCACCAATGGATGTTCTGCCTCCGATGGCAGTAGGAGCTTAATTGGAATGCTTGTGTTGACCTGGGCTCTACCTTCTGAAAGGTAAAACCCTTTAATTTCTGAAGTCACTTGTTCCTCAACAACAGGTTAAAGCTTCCAGCAGTGCCCTTCTCCACTGCAGATGTACTCACGTGGCCGTGCTGGTCCAGCTCATTGTTGGTGAGTTTGACTTTTTCGAAGGACACCATCTGCTTCAGCAGTTGCTCTCCTGTGAACGGGGAGTCAGGGTGCACGTACAACCTAAAAAACAAGGGGAGGGAAAAGGCTTGCTCATAAAAACCAAATCTCACCTCTCGGCTTGTGCGTGGGCATCACCTCCATGTGAAATTAAAAAGCCCTTAATATCTTGCTTTTGGGATATGTGTTGTTTCCACAGACATGGATTTCCTCAGAGTTTAAGGTAATCCAGAACTGCCACTCAAACAAGACACAATCTCCCCTAAATTAATGGACTCTTGAAACATGGCCATTAATGAAAGACAGTGAAGCAGACGACTCGTTTAACTCCCTGAAACATAATGAAGAATCCTGTGTCCAAGTGCTCGATTGCTCTTTACCATACCTATTATTTTATCTAGTTATCCAAAAAGGAGACATGAACCAACATTCGTTGTTGTGTCTTTCCCCAAATGAAAAATTGACCACGTCTATCCCCACAGCTGTACTAACAAGCACTTAAAATAACAATGACTACAGCTCTGAGAGAAAAAACACAGTGTCGTTGGAGAGATAATGGGGGAATGCAGATAAAAATGCATTTTTCTTTATATGTAACATTAAGCTGTGATAATGATTTTAACCTGCACTCGATCACATGTTGGCTGTGGTGACGTCTGTTTATAAGAGGCTGATGGCTGCAGCCCAGCACAGTGGTCTGAGATGAAAAATTAATTGTAGCTCTGTAATTAAGAACTCACGCCACTCGGGAGATGAAGGAGGAGAAAAGGAAGCATGGAAGACATGTAGATACAGTGATATATACATTACAATTAGACTAATTACAAATTCCTGCCTACGTGAAAACAATTTTATAGGAATAATGTATTGCCGAAAATGATTTAACTCAACTATTTTTTGTGTGATAGGAAATTAAGAGCTGAACGAGACCCTCAGCTGGTGCAAACCAGCCCTGTTCTGCTTCTTTCTGGGTTGGTTATCACTCACTGAGAGCCCAGATCTCATTTTGGGTGATGTGTTTGGCCACACGGGTGGATTTCTTCCATTAGGTGGGTGGGGCAGCGCCGAGATGCTGGGTTAGAAAGATAAACATTTGTTGAGCTACGATTTTGGTTAGGCAAGAGGAGAATGGAAAAACCACTAAACGATGGGGCGTGACTCTCTGATAGACTAGGCTGATCCCTAATCAAGGAATGTCCATGCTGGAGACCCCAGGGAGCACAGCTCTGTTGCTCAGAGAGGAAGGAGATCTGATCCTGTGCTCTGTTTTCACCAGCAGAATCCCAAAGATACAGTGAAACTACAATTTTACTAGCATAGCTTGCTTCTGATGTGCAGGATGTTTTCCTCATGCTGCTTGGAAGCACAGCGTGGCTGGTAGAGCTCTGTCCATGGGAGGGATGCTGAGCCAGGGTTCCTCTTCCAATAAAATATTCCTAGCATGCAAGGATCCTCACTGCTACTGACTCTGCTCATTGCACTGCAAAGCTCATGAGAAATTAGGTCTCCAAAAACCTGAGATCTGGAATCCTGTTGCACCAAAAGAAAAAATTTAACTCTTATGAAAATGAACTTCACCTTCCTGTAAAAAAAAAATAAAATGGGGAAAATCTCCAGCTTTAGAGCCCTGAATTAGAGAAGACAAAACAAAAAGTGCCCCAAATACACTCTTCAACTTCTCAGTCAGTCTGGTGATATTCTTTTTATTTTTTTTTTAGAGCCTGACTCCTAATTTTGAATGTCTGGTTAACTAATAATGCTTTCTGTGATCACAGAGTGTGAGGCTCAGCAAAGTTGGGCTAATTGGGGCCAAAAAGCCAAATGATTTCAAATAAGTGCTGGGCAATGAGTAAAGATCTTCACGTGTCTAGAATCAGAGCACAATTGTTTTACACCATAAGTGGTTAATGCTTGGGATGACTTTAAATCTACGAGGTGCCTGGAGGTTGGCAGAGCACTGACAGGAAAGACACAGAAGGATGGGCACCTGAATATCACCAGAGCTTGCTTTTCTTTACTGATTTGCTACCCACCATCAATCCCACCCCAACACACGGTTCCACCTGGTGAACTACACCTATCCACATGCTTCTCCTACAGCCTGACCCTGCCCACCTCAGAGAAGAGGGCTGAGAACGAGAAACATCACTCTGAAGTAGAAATCATCAACAAAATCAGGAGCAAATGGGTTAGAGAAATAAAGGGACACGTCCCAGCACAACACACGAAGCTCCTCCAGAAGTTTGCACGAGCTCTGCTGCCCAAGGTTGGCCAGAATCAAGTGGCTGCTCAGTTCAGTTCACAAAAGCTTTAGGAGCCATATTTGGATGTGAAGTTTCTCCACAGAATATGTCTTGTGATATATGCAAAGTTTGGGTACTGCTGCTGTCTTGCATATTTTGGAATGTGACAGCACTCTCCTGTTTAGTTTAACAGTGGCTGTGGTCCTGCAAGCCCCACACATGCTGCTTTTAATGACCTTAATGCCTCAAATAATTTGCAAAATATAACACCTTTTAAAAGTTTCCTGCCTAGAATTCTCTGGAAGCATGTAAACATTATAACTTCATTGACTGTAGCCAAACACAATAAAAAATAAACCATTTTTAAAACCCCAGACTTTTGAGTGAATAAAAAGGAGGTGAGAAAGGAAGAAGAGCAAATAAAGGTACATGCTGAAACTTATTAAACTGATGTTTCACACAGTCTTAGCAATTTGAAAGAACAAACATAAAATATCACACAGGAATTCTATCCCCAGATAGCACTTTAGGAGATTTACAAAAGACTCTCTGAAAAGTATTTTCATTTAAGTGTTCGTTGCAACATAAACTTGTCTTCAACGTTGACAGCAGGAAGACAGGGATAAAACTGGGGTTTTTTTTTTTTTACAGAAAGTTCCCTGAAGGGCTAATCTTTCAAAGAGAATCACAGAATACTTATTAATTGTGGGGGGAAAAAAAAAGCTGTCTTAGCGTTGAGTGTGTTCTTTGGGTGTTCTTGCCATGGAAAGAGCAAAACATCTAAGGGGTTCAAGCCTGCAAAGTCTTACCCCCCTGCACAAGGTGACTCCTGAATAATTCCCCTGCTGCCCTCCTGCCCGTGCAGATGCAGGCAGGGATGTGCACGAGGAGTCAGCACCTTGGTACCAGCACCCAGGCGCTGACACTCCCCAAGTCAGGAGAGCTAAAGCTGTGTGTTTGTAGGACAAGAAATCATAATTTCATTAAGCTCCTCTGTTACTGGAGCAGGACCAAACCCGTTTTGAGGTGGGAGGAGTACTGCTTTTAATCTGCTGGAGCAAAACTCCCACCTCAAAAGATGCATTAACGCTCCAGAAAAAAAAAAAAAATGACACTAGTAATGCAAAAATCAACACGCTGAACCTCTTGACATCCTTTTTTATCCTCCCTGAACAGGAGTATAAGAAGGAGAAAGTGCATAGATGTGTGTGAGTGCCTTTCATACAAAGAATAAGTCGTCTGTGCCTGTGCTATGATCAGTGGTCTTTTGGCTGAGCATCCTGAAAATGAAACAGGAGAAGAGCACGTTGACACAGAGGGGCAAAAGAGCCTGAAAATGCCACAGCACAGACATACAGCTGTACATGGGAGCACTGATCTGATGGGGACCTTAAAGAGCCACCACAGTAGGAGGATAATAAATAGTAAATTCCAAGGAGGTTTGACTCCAGCTCTAAAACACTCAGTTGCTAATTAGTCCAACGATCAATCACTTGTCTTACATTCTTATATTTCCTCATTGAGCTACTCTATGCCAGAATGTGAATTAACAAGCTATTTAAAGGTAGCCCAGAAGGCACCCGAAATGAAAAATAAGAAGGGGAGAACCCTGCCTTTAAAACTATTTCTGTCCTTCCTTGATTTCTTCTTTGGATGCCGACTCCTTTGGAGCAGGCTCCGTCTTTTTCCTTTGGGTTTTGATCAGTGCCCATTACAATACGTCAAATGAAGCCCTCAGACGTTAACCACATTGCAAGAAGGAGTTTTTGGCCATGAAAACAAAGCCGACATAACTCCTAGGTTGCTGTCTTTAATCACAGCTTCTCTGCATGCACTTTTTGTTTGTTTACTTCCCCGAGCCGCCTTCCAGAGATCAGCAGTCAGCAAGATTTCAGCTGAACTATTTATACGAGGAGAGCTTGGAGGATTTGGGTCCCTCAACTCACACAC